GCAGAGGTTGTAGTGAGCTGAGATCGCACCACTGCAACTCCAGCCTGGATGACAGAACAGACTCTGTCTTAAAAGAAAAAAAAAAAAAGTCAAGTGCAATAGTGAGAAAGGGGAAAAGAAAGAGTCCAACTATTTGTTTTGTTTTGTTTTAATCAAGTGCTTGTATGCTTTGGGGGGAAAAAAAAAGGAGCCAGGTGCCTTGGTCTGTAATCCCCATATTTGAGAAGCCAAGAGGACTGCTTGAGCCCAGGAGTTCAAGACCAGCCTGGGCAACACAAGAAGACCCTGTCTCTACAAAAAAATTTTTTTAAATTAACTGGGCGTGATGGCAGTGTGGGCCTGTGGTCCCAGCTACTAGTGATGCTGTGGTGAAAAGATCTCTTGAGAGCACCACTACACTTTAGCTTGGGCAACAGAACAAGACTCTGTCTCAATTATTTAAAAAAAAAAAAAAAAAAGGGCTGGGCACAGTGGTTCACGCCTATAATCCCAGCACTTCGGGAGATGGAGGCGGGTGGATCACCTGAGGTCAGGAGACCAGCCTGACCAACATGGAGAAACCCTGCCTCTACCAATACAAAATTAGCCAGGCATGGTGGGGCATGCCTGTAATCCCAGCTACTTGGGAGGCTGAGGCAAGAGAATCTTGGCCGGGCGCGGTGGCTCAAGCCTGTAATCCCAGCACTTTGGGAGGCCGAGACGGGCGGATCACGAGGTCAGGAGATCGAGACCATCCTGGCTAACCCGGTGAAACCCCGTCTCTACTAAAAAATACAAGAAACTAGCCGGGCGAGGTGGCGGGCGCCTGTAGTCCCAGCTACTCGGGAGGCTGAGGCAGGAGAATGGCGTAAACCCGGGAGGCGGAGCTTGCAGTGAGCTGAGATCCGGCCACTGCACTCCAGCCTGGGCGACAGAGCAAGACTCCGTCTCAAAAAAAAAAAAAAGAGAATCTTGAACTCAGGGGGCAGAGGTTGTGGTGAGCCGAGATTGCACCACTGCACTTCAGCCTAGGCAACAAGAGCAAAACTCCGTCTCAAAAAAATAAAAGGGCCAGGCACAGTGGTTCACGCCTGTAAACCCAGCATTTTGAGAGGCTGAGGTGACCTGAGGTCAGGAGCTTGAGACCAGCCTAGCCAACATGGTGAAATCCTTTATCTACTAAAAATACAAAAATTAGCCGGGCATGGTGGCACACACCTATAATCCCAGCTTCTCAAGAGGCTGAAGCAGGAGAATTGCTTGAACCTAGGAGGCAGAGGTTACAGTGAGCCAAGATCCTGCCACTGCACTCCAGTCTGGGTGACAGAGTGAGGCTCAGTCTCAAAAAAAAAAAAAAAAAGTTGAATGACTTAATGGGCACCAGAATGCTTTTGTCCAAATTGTGCTGGTATTACAAGCAATATAGCCTCAAAGAACAAAGCTTCAACTGAGAGCTGGAGAAGAATTCATTTCCCAGAATACTTCATTTCTTTCTCTCTCTTTTTTTTGAGATAGAGTCTCACTCTGTCACCCAGGCTGGAATGCAGTGATGCGATCTTGGCTAACTGCAACCTCCACCTCCCAGGTTCAAGCCATTTTCCTGCCTCAGCCTCCTGAGTAGCTGGGATTACAGACGTCTGCCACCACACCCAGCTAATTTTTTGTATTTTTAGTAGAGATGGGGTTTACACCATGTTGGCCAGGCTGGTCTTGAACTCCTGACCTCAGGTGATCCACCCGCCTCGGCCTCCCAAAGTGCTGGGATTACAAGCATGAGCCACCACTCCTGGCCCCATTTCATTTCTTTAGAAGTAAAATGCTACCTGCAAAGAGATAATCATATCCTTGTTTTAGGAAAACTCTTTGGGCAACATATTCCACAGGTCTGAAAGATAAACCTTTACTGCCAAGGAGTGCTCTCAGCCAACTACAGTACTTGTAAAATTCAAGAATGTATAACTGTATGCCAGCCAGTACTAACAGGTCATTCATTCTTTGGAGTTGTAGAAAATAGCAATGCTCAAACGCCCAGCTAGTTTTTTGTACTTAAAATTTTTTGTATTAAATCTTAAAAAATATTTTTAAAAATACATTTTAATAGGTCCTTATTTCAACACAAGCTGAACTCATCAGCTATAGTAGTACCTTTGAAAAACAACTGTTGCCACTCAGCTGATATTAACAGCTCAGAACTGTTTTCTCTGTCTAAATTTCAGGTTAATGATACCAGCCAAAATCTATCTTCTCATACCTATTCTCAAAGGAATGGTCTTACAAAAATAATAATCTGGTCGAGTGTGGTGGCTCACCCAAGGTCAAGAGTTGGAGACCAGCCTGACCAACATGGTGAAACCCTGTTTCTACTAAAAAATACAAAATTAGCTGGGCGTGGTGGGGCATCCCTGTAAACCCAGCTACTTGGGAGGCTGAGGCACGAGAATCGCTTGAACCTGGGAGGTGGAGGTTGCAGTGAGCCAAGATAGCGCCACTGCACTCCAGCCTGGGCAACAAGAGCTAAACTCCATCTCAAAAAAATAAAATAAAATAAAATAAATCCTACTTTTTCTTTGCCTAATTTTTTATCAAATATTTTGAACAGAAGCCACATGTATTTCTACACTACAATAAAAGCATAAGTTCAGAAATAAGTAATCATACCCCCTAGTCAAGCTTAACTATAGGAAAGAAGGACAGGACAGGAAAGGAGGGGAAAAAACAACTTAGCTGGGTATACTTGGGAGGCTGAGGCAGGAGGATGATTTGAGCCCAGGAATTTGAGGCTGCAGTGTACTATGACAGCCTGGGCAACTTCACAACGTCTTGTCTTAAAAAAAAAAAAAAGAAAGAAAGAAAGAAAAAGGAAAAAGAAAAAAGGACACACCTCACCAATTTTGAAATGTGAACGAAATGCAAATAAAGCAATAGTTTTTTGGAACTCATCACTTTGCATTGAATTAGGCATGGAACAAACACTACTCATTTGTTGAGATAATGATGCTCTGGATTTAAATTACATATCCTGTATTCTAAGATCCTCATTACTGAACTGATAGGCAAGCCTGGACCTGGGGGGAAGTGGACTAATCAGAAACAGCACCCTGCATTCCTTCCCTTTGGCTGACTTATACAAATAAAAGAATAAAATTTAATTGACAAAGGATAACAGCTTATAAGTAAGATTGTTATGTTGGAGATGTGTTAACTTAAGTCCTTTGAATTAAAAGCTAAAACTCAGTTTTACCTTCATGAATTGATTAGAGAGAAAATTACCAGGTCCTTTGCTCTTTTTTAAGAGAATTGTGGTGGCTACCTGGTAGAAAACAATTCTTAAGTCACACAACCTCAAAAGTTAAAAGTGCTAACTTTTGAAAAGGAGGTTTGAAATGCTTTGGAAAAATGCACAACAGTTGAAGCAGTAAATAATATTAAGCCATTACAAATCAGGACAAGTATTAACAGACCTTGCATATAACTTCTATGTATCTCTTCAATACGCCCTTTGCCTACAGCACTCAGGGCACAAAAATCTGGGGAAAACTTAAAACTAAGATCTGTTTATCGGAGCTTTTTACCTTCTACCTAGAAGAGCTCGTGTTTCTTTAATTCTGCCATTACACAGTACTTAAGACATCCAAAGCAACTGCAGTGATACAACTCTATGCTAAGTTTTTAAAAAGATCAGTAAACTTAACCCACAACTCACGGTATTTTAACCAGGAGTTCTGGAAGTAAGGGTATTTTTCTGTTTTTTTCCATACCCTCTGAGGTTGAAATTTTTTTACTCTTTATAATACCTAATAATACCTAAACCCTCCCTAGGGAGAAATATTTTACTCCTAAATGACATTATTAACGTATTTTTCTACAGATATTAATGTACTGGAGATATGCTGTTTCCTGCTTATCAGGAAATTAAAATCCCTTTATGTAGTTTGATTTTTTATAGCGCTTTCATATACTCACTTGAACGTGTACACGACACAAACATACAACAAATTTAGACTTATCAGGCATACCCTCAGCCAGAACTTATTCAAACTTACTCGATTTCACATCGTCTTGATGTTAACAAAATTAAGCATGAGCACAATGAAATCCATATTACTGCCAGTTCTCAATGAACAAAAAGAAAAACCAAATTCGCCCATTTCGCAAGGCAAAAGTACTCCCAATCAGACAATCGCAAAAAAAGAAAAAAAATCTCAACCACACATTCACGTAAATCTTTTCAACTCAGAGCCCCAAACGCAGTCGACAACCACACAACTGCCCACAATCACAGCGGTAGCGCCTACTCTTAATTTTGAAGCTAGAGACTTAAGGATACACACACACACACACACACACACACACACACACACACACACACGTCCTCTAAAGTTTGACAAAGTGGGGGAAAAGTCATTTTAAGTAAAGAAAACGAGTTAATCAGGAGGCGATGAGCCCAGTCCTTCCGCCCCGCTTTCCCGCTTCCAGCCCTCGAACTAACCCTCCTCTAACCCCCGAGAGGCAGGAGTTCTAGCGGGAAGATGCGAAAAGCGGCCGGAGACTCAGGGACCGAAGTCGGGGAGACAAAGAGCAGCCCGCGAAGCGCCCGGGTGGCGAGGGGCGGCCCGGCTCCGCCCTGCGCCCCTAACCGCCCGGGTAGTTGTCGGCACCGCCAGGGCGCCGCCAAGTGCGCGCCACCTCTGCCTGGGCTCCCCGACAGTCCCCCGACAACTCCGCGGCCCAGGACACCCCCGAGCCGTTTCCCTCCGGATTTGGGAGCCGCGCGCTTGGGGACAAAGAGGGAGGGTGCGCCGGGGGCAGCGGCAGGACGCGGGCCGGCGACGCCCCTCCGGACTCGGCGGGAACCCCTCGGCGGCGCCCCCCTCCTTCCCCCCGCTCCGGCCGCGCTCTTCCCCGGACCTCCGGAGGTGCTCCTCGGCCCATCTTCGGGCTCCCCACGAGTTCTCCCGCCTCCCCCTGGGACCCCGCCCCTGGCCCGCTTCTCCTCAGCCGGCCCTGCGGCCGCCCCTCACCCGGCGGCGGGTTCCCCCGGAGCCGCCTCCTCCGCCGGGCCTCGGCCCGTCCCGCCGGCCGCGGCCTCATGTGCCCAGCGTCGCCATCGCCTTCGCCTTCACCCTCGCCTCTCCTCCACCTCCTCCGCCGCTGCCGCCTTCGCCTCAGTCTCCAGCCGAGGCAGAAGCCGCTCCCGCCGCCGCCGCCTCCCGCTCCCGCTCCCGCCGCCGGGACCCGCGGGAAGGCGCCTGCGCACTGCGCGCTGCGGTGGGGGCGGGGGCATCCCGCCGCGGCCCGGGAGCGGGGGGCGCGCGGCACGTGGCGCTCGAGTGGGAGGGGGCGCCCCAGAACGCGCGGGAAGCGACGGGAGCGCCAACTTTCCGCGGTCGAGTCCTCGCCGTGCTCTCGGATAGTCTGGGACGCGGGGGAGGCGCGGCGCGCGTGTGAGTCACCCGCGTGGAGTCTGGACCCCGGGTGGGCGCAGACTTCGCTCCGGGCAGTTCATTCCTCCAAGCTGATTTTCGGGCGAGAGTCCCCTGCTAGCCGCGCCTCAGTTTGAGCTGGCCGCTAACGGCGCCGTGGGTTCTCGCCTTACCTGGGTATCCTGGGTTGGTTCAGCGGGCCCAGAGTTGTCTTCTGCGCGCTCCGCCGAGGCCTTGGTCCATTGTAGCATGGGATGCTAATGTCTCCTCCTAGGTTCTGCTCTACAATTCCTCGAGGATCTAGCGGGCCCTGGGTGGATCTAGCTACCCTAGCGTCTTTGAGTCAGGGCTCTTAGAAGTGCTCTAGATACTTTTCAGGTCCTGAACTTCTCGGATTAGCAAGACCCTAATAGGCTATTTCCTCTTAACTCTTTGCATCCCAGCAGGGTCCCATTCAGAGGACTTGGGAAAATTTTTCATGCATAGGAATCCCCAGTTTTAAAATGCCCAGTAGGAAACCGAAAATTCTCCAAATGCTTTAAGTAGAGTGAGACTGTGGCTACTAAAGGAAGGCTTAGTAAAGAGATGGGCGACCTCTGGAATTATCTCATCTGAGCATCAGAATGCCGATGGATAGGCTTTTATTATTTTGCCCTTTTGACCAGAGGAAATTAAGCGCTAACAAGTGAGGTTACTTGCTGAAAGTCAAACTCCCCAACCCAAAGCCAAGCCCTAAGGGCTGGCCGCAGAGTGGAAAACTTGAAGGCTAGGCATCTAATGCACTGACCAGTTTTTTGTGGCCAGTATGGTGTTTTCAAAAAATATGAATTAATTACCAAAATATTAAAATCCAGATTTCTGGCCTTCCTAAAAAGTCAAAACGTGCTTACTTTGAGCTGCTCTTTTCACATGGCAGCTCCTCTTGAGTCACCTTGTCCGGGTAGGCAATGTCCCCACTCAGCTACTTAAATCATTTCATGACCTGCTTGGCCTAGGAGCATTTAAGTACTTCTCCCTGTGATTGCTGTAGTCTGTCCCCACGTCTTATCACATTGCCTCTCTACAGATGTATTTAAAATGACAAGTGTAGGATGGATGCGGTGGCTCAAGCCTGTAATTCCAGCACTTTGGGAGGCCTAGGCAGATGGATTGCTTGAGCCCAGGGGTTCCAGACCAGCCTGGGCAATATGGCAAAACCCCCATCTCTACAAAAAATATAAAAATTAGCCGGGTGTGGTGACACGCACCTGTGATCCTAGCTACTCCAAGCATGAGGTGGGACGATCGCTCAAGCCCGGCAAGGCTGCGGTAAGCTGAGATCGTGCCACTGCACTCCAGCCTGAGCGACAGAGTGAGACCCTGTCTCAAAACACTAAGTGAAAAAAATAAAATGACCAGGGTGGAAACCCTGAAAATACCTGGAAATAATAATAAATAACATGTAACTAAAATAACACAGTAAACAACATCATTGTACCTGTTGAATAAAATATTAAAATTCTCACAGCCTGCAACTGTAAACTAGTACAAATCACTTTGTTGTTGTTGTTGTTGTTGTTGTGACAGAGTCTCACTCCGTCACCCAGGCTGGAGTGCAGTGGGGTGATCTCGGCTCACTGCAATGTCCACCTCCCAGGTTCAAGAGATTCTACTACCTCAGCCTCCGGAGTAGCTGGGAATACAGGCACCCGCCACCATGCCTGGCTAATTTTTGTATTTTTAGTAGAAATGGGGTTTCACCATGTTGGCCAGGCTGGTCTCAAATCCTGACCTCAAGTGATCTCCCCGCCTTGGCCTCCCAAAGAGCTGGGATTACAGACATGAGCCACCGAACCCAGCGGACTATGCAAAACTGGCAATATCTACTGTTGAGGCTCAGAAAATGATATCCCAGGGTGTGGTGGCTGTAGTCCCAGCTACTCAGGAGACTGCAGTGAGCTATGATTATGCCACTACACTCCAGCCTAGAAGACAGAGCAAGACCCCATCTCTTTAAAAAAGAAGGAAAGGGCCGGGCGCGGTGGCTCACGCCTGTAATCCCAGCACTTTGGGAGGCCGAGGCGGGTGGATCACAAGGTCAGGAGATCGAGACCATGGTGAAACCCCGTCTCTACTAAAGAATAGAAAAAAAATTAGCCGGGCGCAGTGGCGGGCGCCTGTAGTCCCAGCTACTCGGGAGGCTGAGGTAGGAGAATGGCGTGAACCCGGGAGGCGGAGCTTGCAGTGAGCCGAGATTGCGCCACTGCACTCCAGCCTGGGCGACAGAGCGAGACTCCGTCTCAAAAAAAAAAAAAAGAAGAAGGCCGGGCGCGGTGGCTCAAGCCTGTGGAAAGGCCGGGCGCGGTGGCTCAAGCCTGTAATCCCAGCACTTAGGGAGGCCGAGACGGGCGGATCACGAGGTCAGGAGATCGAGACCATCCTGGCTAACACGGTGAAACCCCGTCTCTACTAAAAATACAAAAAACTAGCCGGGCGAGGTGGCGGGCGCCTGTAGTCCCAGCTACTCGGGAGGCTGAGGCAGGAGAATGGCGTGAACCCGGGAGGCGGAGCTTGCAGTGAGCTGAGATCCGGCCACTGCACTCCAGCCCGGGCTACAGAGCAAGACTCCGTCTCAAAAAAAAAAAAAAAAAGAAGGAAAGAAAACAATGTCCCAAAGTATGGAGCTTTGGTGTGCTGAGTGCTTTGAACTAAAGGAGATTGGAAGGCCTCAGAAGCAAAGTCTCTCTCTGACCTTCTCCTGCCCTCCTGTCTCCCGCCCCTTTCTCCCTGAAGCGAGTCATAGAAATAAAATTTCCTCTTCCCCAAGGCAGGTCACAGAAACTAGAACCCCTCTCCCCCAAAGCAAGCCATGAAACCAGAAAGGTCACTTTCCCCCTCTCTCTTCCCCCTTGAAGACCCTCATTCCAGAGGAACCAGGAAGGAATACCCTGGAGGAAGGAATGTTACACTGGGAGGCCAAGAAGAATTTGAACCGACAAGCCTTGTTGGGTTCCCCGCTCAGTCTGTTAAATTACATCATACCCCTTTTGTCTGATCACATTTCTACACGGCGTGTCCATTCTGCATTGAACCTAAGCACAAAAGCCGACAATTGTCCTTGGGTCTTGAGATTTTTTTGTTTTGTTTTGTTTTGTTTTGAGACAGAATCTCGCTCTCTCGCCCAGGCTGGAGTGCAGTGGCACAATCTCCACTCACTGCAAGCTCTGCCTCCCAGGTTCACGCCATTCTCCCACCTCAGCCTCCCGTATAGCTGGGACTACAGGCGCCTGCCACCGCGCCCAGCTAATTTTTGTATTTTTAGTAGAGACGGGGTTTCACCGTGTTAGCCAGGATGGTCTTGATCTCCTGACCTCAGGATCCACCCGTCTCGGCCTCCCAAAGTGCTGGGATTACAGGCGTGAGCCACCGCGCCCGGCCTTGTTTTGCTTTTTTTGGTGAAACAGGGTCTCTCTCCATCGCCCAGGCTGAAGTGCAGTGGCATGATCTCAGCTCACTGCAACTTCCGCCTCCCAGATTTAACTGATTCTCATGCCTCACCCTCCCAAGCAGCTGGGACTACAGGCGCACATCACCACGCCTGGATAACTTTTTGTATTTTTTGTAGGGATGGGGTTTCACCGTGTTGGCCAGGCTGGTCTCGAACTCCTGATCCGCCTGCCTCAGGTGAGCCGCCTGCCTCAGCCTCCCAAAGTGCTGGGATTACAGGTGTGAGCCACCGCACCCGGCCCTTTGAGGTCTTCTATTTTTATTCTTTTCTGAGACAGAGTCTCACTCTGTCACCCAGGCTGGAGTGCAGTAGTGCAGTCTCAGCTCACTGCAACCTCCGCCTCCCAGGTTCACGCGATTCTCCTGCCTCAGCCTCCCAAGTAGCTGGGACTACAGGTGTCCGCCACCATGTCCACCTAATTTTTTTTGTATTTTTAGTAGAGACTGGTTTTCACTATGTTGGCCAGGCTGGTCTTGAACTTCTGACCTCCTGATCCACCCGCCTCAGCCTCCCAAAGTGCTGGGATTACAGGCGTGAGCCACCGCACCTGGCCCTTTGAGGTCTTCATTTCTGAAGGCTCTTGTGTTACATAAAACTTTGGTTAAATAACTTGGTTATGCCCTTCTCTTGTTAATCTGGCTTTTGTTATAGGAGTGTCAGCTATGAGCCTTATAATGGATGAGGAAAGGTATCACACCTTTCCGCCACTACACTACTAAAGCTGAACCTATGAATATACTATGACTTTGGAATTCTATGGCAATTCCACAAAAATGTGTACAAATGTTCACCAAAATACTTGTCCTAGAGTATTCATAGCAGCACTATTTATAATAAGCCAAAAAACTAGAAACTACCCAAAATGCCTGTCAACCGTAGAATGGCTAGATAAATTGTGTTATGTTCACATAATAGTACATTATGCTGCAATGAATATGAACAATCTACATTTACACACAAGATGGATCTCACAAAAGTTTCCATTTACAAAAAGTTCAAAAACAGGCAAAACAGGCCAGGTGCAGTGACTCATGCCTGTTACCCCAGCACTTAGGGAGGCCAAGGTGGGCGGATCATTTGAGCTCAGTAGTTCAAGACCAGCCTTGGCAACGTGGCAAAACCTTACCTCTACAAAAAATACAAAAATTAGCCAGGCATGGTGGCACGTGTCTGGAGTCTCAGCTACTCCAGAGGCTGAGGTGGGAGGATCACTTGAGCCTGGGGAAGTTGACGCTGCAGTGAGCTGTGATCACGCCACTGCACCACTGCATTCCAGCCTGAGTGACCGAGCAAGACCTTGTTTAAAAACAAAAACAAAAACAAAAAAACAGGCAAAACTAATCCATGCAGTTACAAGGACAGTTGGCCGGGTGCGGTGGCTCACACCTATAATCCCAGCACTTTGGGAGGCCAAGACAGGTGGATCATGAGGTCAGGAGATGGAGACCATCCTGGCTAACACAGTGAAACCCCATCTGTACTAAAAATACAAAAAAA